CCTGGGCTCTGGGCTGGGCTGGTGTAAACTGTACGTGGTTTCACCATGTGTTCTGATTTCCTCACAGCATAAAAGTCTCAGCATAGGTAGACTTTTAGCAGGCCTCGGGCACATGCACGTGCTCCAGCCAACAAGGTGAAAGCTGTATTCCCTTTTATGACCCAGCCTCGCACTTCTCGTAGGGTCACTTCTGCCGTAGTCTCTTGGTGGAAACAGTCACGAGCCTCCCGATTCAAGAGGAGAAATAGACTTCACCACCTGATGAGAGAGTAGCAGAGTCACATTGTAGAAGAGTATGTGAGATTTTGAAAATAGCAATCGTCACCGAGGTTATAATTGTCCTTTGTTTCATAAATGAGGCACGGAGTTTTGTAAAGAAGCAGTCAGCCCGGGTGGCAAGATTAACAAGGGGAAACTTGAGAAACTACTCCTAGAGATACTATTACAAGGGCTTCCTATTTAGGTCGCTTTTAAGATACTTATTTCAAGCCTTTAAAAAATCCATAATGATATGATATTTGTGCAATTTCTGTGCTGTTCACAAAGGATCCTAATCCAATCATGAGGAAATAAAGCATAGTTTCTACCTGCCAGATATTGAGATCAACCAAAGACACACTGCAGACTCAGTGGGGCATAAGATCCAGGAGGAGGCCATAGGTCAGGTTAGAGTGGTTCCAGCTTCCTTTTGTTGCCTCCTGGGTGTCACAGCAGTGTTCACATGGGCCACAAGTAGCTGGCCTCCCCTGGGGAGCAGGGGGATAGGCCTTTTTTTCTAGGGAGCTAAGCAGGCACAGTTGTGGGTTCTTTTACCAAAGGTAGGTCACTCAGAAAGTTACAGCGACATTCATTTACATTCAAGCATCCAAATTAAAAACTGCGTTTTACTTAACTTCATCCTATCAAAATTGCTCATACCTCTGGGCTTGTGAGCTTTTGCTGATTTGATCACTTGGTCTGGTGACCATTCAAAGAATGTCTGTGGGCGCCTGGGTGGCTCAGTTGGTTAAGCGACTGCCTTCGGCTCAGGTCATGATCCTGGAGTCCCGGGATCGAGTCCCGCATCGGGCTCCCTGCTCTGCAGGGAGTCTGCTTCTCCCTCTGACCCTCCCCCCTCTCATGTGCTCTCTCTCATTCTCTCTCTCTCAAATAAATAAATAAAATCTTTTAAAAAAAAGAATGTCTGTATACCTAGGCTATATTGGCCAGACAAGAAAATGACCCAGGGATGATCCTGGAATTTCCTCCAGTTGTAGCAGTGTTATAGGTGCTTGAAGATGTTAAAGCTGCATTTAAAAAAAATCCCAAAGTAATATTTTTCACTAATTCTCATAGACCTTCCCCTCTATCATTATAAATATAAAACTTTCTCCTTGTGAGATTTGAATTAACTTCACCTTTTACCCATGCGTTTCCTTGCCTTTAGTATTACTTTCAGTCTATAATATTTTTACTATCACAGATTCAGTCCTTAGATTCAATTCAAGATATATATGAAAAGATGAGTGACATACATCATTGTCATCATTATCATTATAAACTTTGTGTCAACGTATAATGTACACACAGAAAAGTAACCAGAGCTTAACTGTATAAGTCAGTGAATTTTCAAGAATTAAATACACTCGGGCGCCTGGGTGGCTCAGTCGTTAAGCGTCTGCCTTCGGCTCAGGTCATGATCCCAGGGTTCTGGGATCGAGCCCCGCATCGGGCTCCCTGCTCCGCGGGAAGCCTGCTTCTCCCTCTCCCACTCCCCCTGCTTGTGTTCCTTCTCTCGCTGTGTCTCTCTCTGTCAAATAAATAAATAAAATCTTTAAAAAAAAAAAAAAGAATTAAATACACTCATTTAACTGCCACCCAGATCGAGAAATAGAACGTTACCAACATCCCAGAAACCTTCCTGCTCATACCCAGTAACTGACTTTCCTCTCCATAGGTGACAGTTTTGCCAGTTTTTAACTTCATACTGAGATTAGATTGTTTTGTTCATCATTATGGTTGTGAGGTTTCCATGCTGTTGCATATAGTAGTTCATTAAGTTTCACTTCTGTGTCATATTCCGCTGTGTAAATATAACACATTTTATTTTTTTTATTTTATTATGTTATGTTAGTCATCATACAATACATCATTAGTTTTTGATGTAGTGATCCAACATACCACATTTTATTTATCCATTCTGATCTTGATAGGTATTTGGATTATTTCCCGTTTTCAGCTAATATAGACATTTTTATTTTTTTAAAAGATTTTATTTATTTATTTGTCAGAGAGAGAAAGAGAGTGAGAGACAGAGCACAAGCAAGGGGAGCGGCAGGCAGGGAACCCGATGCAGGACTCCATCCCAGGACCCTGGGATCATGACCAGAGCCGAAGAGAGACGCTTAACTGACCGAGCCACCCAGGTGTCCCGACATTTTTAATTTTTTTAGTATACATATGTATACTTTTTTGTTAAGTATATTCCCTGGATTGGGTTTACTAGATCCTAGGGTATGTGTATATTCAGCTATGATATCTGCTGCCAAGTAGTTTGCCAAAGTGGTTGTACCAATTCACACTCCCACCAGCAGTGTAGGAGAGGTCTATTTGCTCCACTTCCTTATAAACACTTAAGTTAATGTCAGTTTTTAGTCAGTCTTTCCAAGTTTAGCCATTCTGGTAGGTAATAGTAATTATGATTTTGATTTGCATTTCTGTGGTAACTAATGAGGCTGAAAACCTTTAAAAAGTTTTCTTGCCATCTGGATAGCCTTATTTGGGAAGTGTCTATTCAAGTTTCTTGCCCACTATTTAATTGGATTGTTTGTCTTTTTCTAATTGATTTGTAAGGGTTTATTATATACTGGTGATTAACAGCAGTTTTTAAAATCTCTTCCTTTATGGCTGATGGCTTTTATGTCTTATTTAAAATATATTTGCCTTCGGGGCGCCTGGGTGGCTCAGATGGTTAAGCGTCTGCCTTCGGCTCAGGTCATGATCCC